TAGGCATTTAAATATAAATAAAAACATATGTGCGCTACCAAGGAAACTCCTGCCGACGTTTCCCCTTATAAAATGTTCTTTATCAATCTTTGTACTAACAATATCATACTTTTTTACGCAAGTTCATTTTGCTCGACGAAGTGTTTTGTTGTTTGAAGGAATTTCTACCTATGACGCAAATAGCCATCTTCATGCAATTTAACATCCAGAAACATGCTTGTTTTCGGTTAATTCCTTAAATTGATATCTTATTTTAAAGGTTTCCATATACACGTCCAACGAAATATGGATTTATGGACGAAATCTTCGAGAAACTGAAAACGCTGGAACATTTATTGGCGTTTAGAAGTCCGTCTGCAACTAATTGTGATTGAAAAACAACAGTTCGAAGTTTTCATGTTAATGCTGGTTTGCGTGTGCTTATCAATATTTCGCAAATTTTTCTATTTTACACGATTTATGCGCTGATACATACATGGACGTATCAGGGCCCGATACGGTTTTTATTCATTACGTGAATCCAATAATACAGACATGGAGACCTCTTATGTTTTCATAATATATGCATATGTATATGTAGAACTGAAGGTCCCAGTAAACGTTGTGTATAATTTGCAGACACTTTCTTAACTTAAATTCGATCCATCCTAGGCAAATATCATTTTACTAACCACAGGTAGTCTTATTAAATTAGAATAATAATGAATTGCGCAACTGTAATGTAAAACATATGTTCACTGCTGCGATAACCAATATTATCCATCATGTAATTAATATTTTTGCCTCAAAAACCTATTGCATATTTTCGCTTACCGTGTGTGTTAAGCATCTTTAAATTTATAAAAGATTGCTTGAAAACGAGTGTTGAAATTGGTAGTCGACCTAGGGTAACCATGCGCCGAACGAGCATGAAAACCAACTACATCGACTAGATCTCCTACAATATATAGAGGCATTTTATCGCAACCAGGGAAAAATGTATCCTTATTGTTAGACAGATGTCAGTTAACGCATTACTTCGCCTTGAGCAAAGATTTACTAATATACTTCTGTGCGAAGTGACTAAATCTGCAGAAAAATTCAAATAGCTTCACGGCAGATCCACAACTCAGGATCGCTCGAACCGTCTCCATTCGCTCCCTTATTCCTAACTGAGCCTGATATAGCGTAGGAACGCAATAATGTTTATCAACATACTCAATTTTGATACAAAACTTCAACGTTTTGTGAAAACACGTGTTTTAATGAACTCACATTAAGACTGCAACCACAACCATAACCAGAGAACATCGGACATGACCAAACCAAATGAAATAAATTGTACACTCTCCCCCGCTGCCAAGCGTTCTTGTAGAACCTTATTCTAAAACAAAAGGAGAACATTTTAGTACCAAACATAATATGCACGTCCCGAATTTGTTTACTTAGCTCGTTGGCGAAAGGCTGGTCATGTGTCGTGCCCAAAAATGCCTGTGAACTGACTTTGCATAATGTCTTTACAAATCGAGACCAAGAACTACTTACCCTCATTTAGATCTTGCACCTTGTCCTCCTTAACCGTCTCCATGTCTGTAGCATCAGTAGGCATGCAATTAACGATGCAGGCCTTCAGAGATTCAAATGAGTCCTTTGCTTTCGGCTTGGTGAAGTAACTGCCTGTCACGCATACGTCGTTTACGTTGCAGACGATGATACTGTGTCGTTTGCTGTTCGCCGCTTTTACGAATAGAGAAGACAGTACAACATTCAGATAGATGCCAACCAGTGTATACAGGTTTCACAACATATCCAATAAAAGAAACAACAAACCCGTCGTCCAGCCATCACATTGGAATGCACAATGGTTAAAGGCATTAAAGGTCTCATTTACTCTCGAGACCTCAAGACAGTCCTTCTTAGTTGCGCTGCACAGCTTAATTGGTCCAATTGTGGTCAACTGAGCTGCAACGGAAAACAACAGTTTACCTCCACGCATGTAATACTTTGCGTTAGTAAAATGCCCAAAAGTTATGCGTCCTGATGTTTAAGTGAAAAACAAACAGTGGAGTTATGGAAAGTGAATGGACATCAGGAAATCAATTTACCTCGCGTGATATGTGAACACAACCGGATACACATAATGTGCCTGTTAAAACTAATTTTGAAGTTGTCTCGGCCAAAGAATTTGTATGGTGTGCAAGACGTGCTGGTTCCTTCGCAGTGGACGGCTTGCCATTCTCGATTTGCGTCCCCTAAAACAAATATTGTATTGTTATAGCGGGAACTATAGACTAACGTACAGTAGACGCCGTTGATCACGCAATATTTCGAAATATGCGAAAGACTAATACTCTTTCGCTAATCGGAATCGACTCCAGTTGTGAAACTGATTATTGTGCAGTGTATTCTGAAGTCATTTCAGTCAGGATAAGAAGCCGGCTTTTTAACGAGGCTTCGTTTGACTCCTAGGAAAACGTATCTATTGTAAAAACTGACTACTTAAGTAGTATGTTTTTTTGTCATTGGTTTTGACTGCCTTTATAAATTCAAATATATTTTATGAAAAACATGCACGAAAAAATTATTTTTTGTACTTGTTTGATAGCAAATTACGCCTTCTTTAAGTTATACTTAAAAAAAGGATAGCTTTGGCTTTTAAAAAGTTGCCCAATTGCCGAACAATTTTCTAAACGAATGAATGCTACACTC